GCATATGACTACTGGCAGGATCAACCAGGTATCTTTTTTTATGAAACACGATGGAAGAATTTGGTTAAAAATTCCCCAACGGTTTTTATTTCAAAGTACTTTTTATCTACATGTTTCGTAGATCATACTATATAATTTACGCCACAATTGTTAATAGAAATTAATTATATATTATATAATATAATTTCTCAATTTAGGATAATTAATAATATGATCTACATTAGCACGTAGTACATTTCAGTCGTTCAATCAAAATACCTGTAAACAATAAACAAATATTGTAATACGGTTGGATAATTGACGCTTTATAATGTATTCTTGTTGCCCAAAAATTGCCTTCAATATTTTCCTGAATGAAAAATTCCAAAAAATTCTTTAGATTAAGAAATTTTTAAAAATGTCCACCCTTCGAGTGAATTTACATACGAGTATCTTGAAAATTTTCGAGAATTCTCGCAGAATTATTCACGATTGTTTTAAAAAAAAAATATCCGATGGATGTGAAATACACACAATTTGCCATTTACATTGAACAATTGAATTAATTGTCAATATTTTTAAATTCATTTTTTATTTTATCACTTTTGAGAGAAAAAATTCAAGAACCTCCCCCCTCACATAATGATAAATTTGCGTCATTAATTTTTTATTTTAATAAAAAAAAACTTGAAAAAAAATTTTCTTATAATTTAGTGATGGAAAAAATGAATCGAAAAGTAAGCAATACTCTTTTTATTTGTTTGCTCCTTCTTTCTCTTCCTTCTTTCCTCACAAAGTAGTTGAACGTGTATTGTTTTTTCTATTTTGTTGTTAAATTTTTATTATAAAAAAAAATTTATGAAAAAGCGATACTACATGTGAATTCTTCTCCTTATTACAATTGGTATTCAATTTAATTTATCTAATTGGTTATTATCCGTAAAAAAAATTATCGCTAAAAATGGGGCGTAGATATATTTTATTTTTTTTTTTTTTATATCCAACGGAGTCTTGCTCCAATAAACTTTAAAATTTACACTTAATCTATTAATAAAGATACAGATAATTTATTTTTCATCGTTGCCTAAGTATAACCTCAGGAACTGATGGCCAAAACCCCATCAGATATAATAAATGGGGCGTAGATATATTATAACCCTTTATTTATTTAAAATTGATTTCATTTATTTAGTTTTGTTAAAATTTAAATAAATTTCAAAGTTGTTATCATAAAAAAAATTTATCTATTTATTTAATTTAGCTCGATGTCATTCATTTATTTACTTAATTTAACAAACGATGTCCAAGTTATTACCATAAATTAAATAAACAAAATTAAATTATTCAAATAAATAAATGAAATTAAATATTTTTTTTTTTAACAAAATATCGCTCGATGTCCCATAATACATCATTAAATATTTTTTTAACAATTAAATCACTTTATTTCAATTTTATGTATAAAAAATTATAAAAATTGAATTTTACATCAACGGAATTAAATTTTTAATTAATAAATTCTTCATTTTAATTTATCTAAATGTAATGTATGTATTAAAAATGTTTTAATGATTAATAAAATAAACTATGATCGGGGCGAGGTAAAAGAAAGAGGTGTTAGAACTTTTATTTTATTCTTGATAAAACTCCTTAGCAACATATTTTACTCTTGTAGATATAAATAAAAATTGATCAACAAAAATAACTATATTACGCGAACATTATTTACATTTCACGTTTAAAATGTAGAATTTCATCTAATCGTAAATCATTTTAATCTTGTAAATCATCTTAAATTTCCAAAAAATCAAGATCAGGTGCATCTTGCCATCTAATTGTAAATCAAATCGTTTGACGGATGATATTTTTTAATTTCATACTTTTTCTATACTCATTGTAACATCCACTACATTTGTTACATTTTTTTCTAATGTAATAAAACAAAATATTAAATGTATTATTATTTTTTCTTATATATCATTATTATTATGACGAAGAAAATTTTAAAGGGGTGATTTACACGAAATAAATAATATGATTAATAAATGTAAATACAATAATAAATACAATAAATAAATAAAGTAAATACAGAAGTTAATCATGATCAACAAGATATAACCAAGTTTCCTTATTTCCAGCAACCAAAAGAATATCAGAATCCTGAGAACACATATCTATTATATGATTGTTAGCAACCAAAACGGATCTTAATAAGTAACAAGGAACGGAAAATAAAAGTAATGAAGAAGCTGGATTATTATTATTATTATTATTGCCTCCTATAGATTCTTTATATGATAAATTGATTATTGAAGAAGAAGATGATAATGATAGTGATGACAGTAATGTGGAATCTAAATATAAAAGATGAATAAATATAAAATATAAAATGTTAAAATGTAAAATAAATAAATAAATTATTAGAAATAAAATAATAATAAGATAATAAAATAATTCCAATAATAATAATATTATTATTATTTATAACTTACCAGATTCAATTTCATTCTTTTCATTGTCGTTTTGAATTACCATTGACAAAAGTGATGTAGCAATATTATTTAAATCAGATAATAATTTAATTCCTTCTTTATCAATTGTCACAATATAAAAAGTAGAATTATTCTTTCCATTTGATGAATTTGATGATGGTAAATTATCTAATGAAGTATTGATCCAATTTACCATTAAAATATTATTCTTCTTCTTCTGAGTTGATGATAATTGTCGTTGTTGTTGCAAGAAAACAATATTTAATCCTTTTCTTTTTGATAAAATATTTCCCCGTTCAACATTTCCTATATTCCCATCATTATTACTATTAATACCATCATAATTATCTTCACCATCATATATATCATCATTAATATCATCATTATCATCAAATTCCTTATTCACCCAAGGAATAGGAAAATCTTTTAATTTACAACAAGCAAATAAAGTATAATGTTTAGAAATTTCAATAAAAGTATCTAAAGTATTGTTATTATTATTATTAATTTTACGAGATTTATTAGAAGTTATTATGGTTGTAGTTGTGGTGGTTGTATTATTTTTTGTGGTTGTTACGGATTTTATAAATGCAGCAATTATGTAGACTTCATTAGGTGTAGTATATAAAAGAATTTTATCTTCCGAAATTAATTGTAGATCTAGAAATATATCACACACACACATATATATATATATATTAATTATAATAAAATAAATTATATATAATACAAAACAATATACATAATATATTTTACCTAATATTTTTACATTCACATCAAATTCGCAATTATCACCAAATTTTGTATTTAATGGTAAAAGAGATAAATGTCCACAACCACCTAAACATCCAAGTCTCGGATTTTGTATCGAAGATTCTATAATATTCTTTTTTTCTTCTTTTTCTCCATTACTCTTATTATTACTCTTATTATTATTATTATTATTATCATCATCACTATAGCCACTCTTATTATCATTTTTATTATCACTCTTATTATTGTTATTATTATTGTTTTCCTCTTCATCATGTAAAATAATTTTACTTTTGATAAATTCATTTTCACGATTAAAACATCCACAAACTTTACCCGATAATATTTTTTTTATAATAATTATTCCCAAACATTCTTCTTTATCTAATTTATTATTATAATTATCATCATTATTCTTATTATATTTATTATTATTATTATTATTATTATAAATTGTTGTTGTTGTTGATTTAATACTGAAAAATATAAAGTTTTTTATTATGCATAAATTTTTTATTGGATATGAGATTGGTAACGATATTGTGCTATACCATTCAAATCTTAGTGAACTATCCCAATGCTATAATAATAATAATAATAATAATAATAACAATAATATTAATTAATTAAATGATAATCTTAAAATAATTAATTAATAAATAATATAATAGGAATAAATAAAAAAAAAAACCTTTTTCAAATTCCATAAAATAATTTCATTAGATTCACATAACATTAAAACTCTTTGCCCATATCCCGTAACATATTTTGGACATGACATAACTGATGCCATTAATCTATAATAATATTATATTATGATATCATATTACATTATCATATTACATTATCATATTACATTATCATATTACATTATTATATTATATTATTATATTATATTATTATATTATTAAAAGATAATTCAGTAAAAAAATTGTCATTTAATAACTTACTTATTTTTCGAAGAACTCTTAAAATCTTTTATTAATCTTTCTTCCCCAATTTGTAACATTATAGGAACTAATCCAAAAAATGGTCCAATTGATGATGAATTATTATTATTATCATTATTATTATTTATATTATTATTATTATTACTACTATTATTATTATTAATATTTGGATCATTATTATTATTATTATTATTATAATTATTATTATTACTATTATTATTGCTTCCACCAATTCCACATTTTATTCCTGAACTATCAAAATTATTTAGATTATTATTTAGATTTGGTAAAAATTCATATGCTCGAACTTCAAAACTACCCACTACACGTTCTTTGGGTTGTATATGAAATGTTATAACAAATGTTGTAATTGGTACTATAGAATTATTATTTGGAAGAAGAGAAGGGGAAGAAGGAATATCAAGAAGTAATAAAAAATTTGGTTCATCATCAATTCGAAGCGGTGGACCTGTTGAAGGCTATTATAATTTATAATTTAATTTATAATTAATTTTTTATTACTATCTTTTTATATCTTTCCATTTTTGATAATTAAATAATTCACTATATATATTAATTTATATTAATAATAAATTATATTCAATTATATTCGATTATATTAATTATATACCTTAGTAGGATGAACTTCGATAATTCCATCCGTATAAACAAATGCAGTCAAAGATTTTGAATGTGATTGAATAAATCGAATTATCGGTTTAGTGGGAAGTGTATATGAACGAATTGTCATTTTAGTAAACAATGAATAAAAAAATTTTTAAAGATCACACAAAATTTGATCCATTTATTCATTATATCACGTGACTATTTTTAACGTACATAAAAATTTCGATATAAAAAAAAATATTTGTATCTAATAAAGTTGAATTCATATTACAATTAATACCTGTAATTTTATCTGCCAATTCATTATTTTCTTAATAATTTCTGCTTGATTGAATGAATTATCATCTTCAGAAGATAAAACATGCATTTGATCAAATTCATTTTTAACCGCTCATTGAATGAATAAGCCAAGATTCTGAAAGATAATCAAAACAATATTGAAAACATTCCTCATGATATGTGTGCTCACAGATAACACAATGCCATTTGTTATTGAAAATAAAATCACAATTCTCATAAAAATTGGTAAATGAGAAGAATGATAACCTAATGGTATTGTTCCAAAAGAAAATCTTTTAGAAAGTGGTGAAAAATAATAATATGGTTTCTGTTATTCTTACATCTTCCATTTTTCTCTAAAGTTTTTCAAAAATCAATAAATATTGCATTACACCTTAACCATTCTCCACACATAACTTTTCCAGTTTGTCAGTTTGTGAAAATTTTTCACTGGATATTCATCTAAATTATTTTTAAGAGTATTGATAATAAAATATTGAATAAAAATCCATTATTGAATATCAGATATCAAAGCAAGCATTATTTTATTATAATTTTTTTTATTCAAACTTTACTTTTTCATCGAAATATTGTCTCAATATATTGATCAAAATTGGTATAAATAAATGTAAATTATCTAATAAATTTACAAATATACAATATTCAAGATCTTTTGAATGTTTAAACCATGTAAAAATATATGATTTTATAGTATTCCAACCTGTATATACTAAATAAAATAAAAGATTGATATGCCAAAGTTTTGGTTTTGTTGCTAAAATTTTTTTTTCAAATATTTCTTTATATAAGTCATTAAAAAATGGATAAAAGTTAAAAATTACATTCAAAAACTTCACAACAAAAATTTTTGTACATTATATTTTACTGTTAGAGGTATATATAATACATTTCATATTCTAATTAATAATACAAACTGGATTATCAATTCTTATCTAGCAGAAAAAAATAAAGATATCATATTTGAAACTTTTTTTAATATAAATTATATAAAATCATTTATGAGTTTATATAGATTTCAGTTTACTTAGAAATTAACTTTTATTAATAAGTGGACTGTACATCTATTAAAAAAACAAAACTTGATAAAAACTTTGTTAATTCAAATTATGAATCAAGAAAAAAGAACAAAGGTAAGTTTGTATAAACTAAAAAAAAGAAGACTAAATAAAAAAGATAAAATTTATACAATATTGTTATTTTTTCATTATTTAAATTAATTTATTTGTTTTCAAAATAGATAGATCTGTTTTCAATAATTATTAAACATCTTTCTTCACAACCAAAAGTTATTTTTTCAGGAACAGATCCAAGCACTGTTATAACATCTGTTACTGTACCAAAAACTCTTGAATTTGTCTTCAATTATATAAACCACTTTAAAATTCTTAATTCTATTGAAAATATTTTTGATATTGATTTTCATTTAAAACCTTATTTTTTTGATACTTCTTTAAAGAAGTAATCTTATTAATAAGTTTAGCAGTAAATTTATAACAGGAACAACAAAAATATAATGTAGATGAGAAGATTCAACAAAAGAAACAAGCAAAAAAAAATCACTAGTGGAGATTCAAACTAAGAAAGCTTATGAAAAAATTACAGTGCAAGAAAGAAGATCTATTTGTGCCCATGTTCGGTTTCCTCCCGATACATCAAAACCTATATTCATTCATTCATTCATTTCGTTGAATACTGGCAAGGAATTAACAATTGTATCAAAGGATATTTTAAATGAAGAATGAAAAAAATTTGGGCACAAAACAGAATTTATGAAAATGTTGCAATTGAAATAAATACAATTCTTCTTTAAAATTGTTCTCTATCAAGCTCGTATGATTATTAATGCATGGTGCAATTAAATGCGTTAATCCCTTGTGCCCAGCAAAGAAGATTAAATACACAACACAAGGAAGAGATGTGAATGCAAATATTGATCTGTCTGGAGCATCAATTATTCTAGCTGCAAATGAATTTTTAACAGTCATGACACCAGACTTGGTTCCCACAACTTCATTCGAGATGAATGAATACAAAAGTGAGTAAGATTTTGAAATTTTTGTTTTCTGACTAGTTTATATATATTTCTCCAGACCCATTTCTAGTATATATCATACATATACAACGATCTTATGATCTTGTGTACAATTTAGAGTAACACCAAAAGATACTGCGAAAACTTAAGTTTACAAGTTTATAATTTATAATTCTAATTCAGCTTTTATTTATATATATGATTACATACATATGCAAATATATTTTCGCATTTTTTATATAAAAAGTCTAAACATTTATACAATATTAGATTATTATGAACATTATAAATATATATATATATTACTTTCTTATAATTTTATGTTATATTATATGGCAATTTTTAAATGAGAAAGAATGCAAATTAAAAAATATTAGAAAAAAAAATGCTTGCTTTTAAAATAAAAAAAAATAATAATAATAAAGAAGAATGGAAACGATTGTTTTATTAAATTTTAAATTCGTCCTGAAAAAAATAAATTAATTAAAATTAATAAATTAGATTAAATTAAACTTAATTAAATATAACAATTAATAATGCTTACCGGAAGTTCTTGACTTTGTATTTTATAATATCGCTCTAAAGTTCCAAGATCATATAAATTTCTTCTGACTAGGAGATTAATAACAACACCATGTGATCCGTATCCACCACAACAACAAATTCTAAAAAATATATATAGTATATAAATATAAGGCGTAATATAAAAGCATAATGTTACATATAAAGCATAATTAAAAGTTTACCTATCATGATAATCTTCTTTCTTATATGGTAAATCGAAGTGAATGGTATATTTAACTGGTTGAAAAGAGAGTACGGCAGCAAAGCTATCAGTGGTGACCATGACAGCTTGATTTTCTTTCCAAAATGATTTGATAATATTGTGTCTCTCGGATTGTTTGGTCATAGAATGCTAAAATATTCGTTATTGTTATTGTAAAAATATTATTATTATTATAAAATTACTATTATTATTATTATAATTATAATTAATAACTTACCGCCGTGAACATATTAATATTTTCAAATAAAGTTGCTAACTTATCCGCTAACCATTCAACTCTATCCGCATTATCACAAAAGATAATTGATTTTTCATATTCCAATACTTTAAAAAGTTCACAGAGCGCATTTAATTTTTCTTCTTCTCTTTCCACCAATTTATAATACAATTGTAATCCGTCACTCATGTGTATATCGTTTACCACGATAAGTGCATTCTTGGTTAATTTATTTTTGACATCGGCCAAAGTGAAAGTTGTTGCTGTGGTCATAAGAATTTTTTGTGTTCGATTCGGTGATCGATGAATAATATCTAAAGCTTGTGATCGAAAAGTACTATTGAACATGATACACGAATCTTCAACTACCACCATCTTTAAATGTGAAATATCAAATGATTTTCGATCAATCATTAAATCAATTAATCGTCCTTTAAATAAATTAAAAAATTAAATTAAAAAATTAAATTAAAATTAAAAAAACTAAAAAAATTAAATTAAAAAAAAAATTAAAATTAAAATTTACCAGGTGTTCCAAGAATTATTTGATGCCCCATATTTTTCAAATTCTCTACATCTAGTCTTACCGGATATCCACCAACACAAACTGACCATGACACTTTCATATATTTACCCACAACAACGATAAGATCTCGAATCGCGTAACAAAGATCTTTATTATGAACGAGAATAATCACTTGACATGATGAATCCCGAGGATCAAGTTGTTGAAGCAATGCGATCACATAAGTTAATGTACGTTCTTCTGACCGAGGAATTTGAATAACTGCATCACGATGAGTTAATAACGCCGGTAAAGAACGTTGTTGGATTGGTGTAGGTTGATTATTACTGTCATAAATATTTAATAAATATTTAATTAATATTCAAATAAATATTTAATCAATATTCAAATAAATATAAATAAATATTTAATAAATATTCAATAAATAAATATATACCCTTCACGTTCACGAATTCCTCTCAATATTTCTGGTTTCAATTTCATTTCTTCAAAAGTTGTTGCTTTTTTATCACAATTATCTTTTAATGTTTCTCGTTCACGTTGATAAAAGTTATTAATATTATTGTTATTAATATTAATATTATTATTGTTATTGTTATTGTCATTATTGTTATTTTGATTTGACTGTCGACCAAATAATCTTCTTTCTTGTCGATCTTTACTATTATTCCTGGAATTTTGCTTTTGTGTATGTGTAATAAATGCATATATAATGTATGTACGTATATTGAAAAGAGAAATTAAATTTGGTAAGTAAATTTAAAAAAAAAAAATCGATTAAATAAATAAATAAATAAATATATATATATATATATATTCTTACCAATCTAACTCCAGGTTTATTGGTTCCAGGTTTATTCCCTCCAGATTTATTGACTCCAGATTTATTAATTCCAGGTTTATTAATTCCAGGTTTATTAGTTCCGGGTTTATTAGTTCCAGATTTATTAATTCCTCCAGGTTTTTGTATGGGGAAAATCTTTTCTTGAGTTGTTGTTGTGGTAGAAGTAGAAGTAAAAGTAGAAATAGTAGAAGTTGGTATAGGAACAACAGTTTGTTGCGGTGGTGGTGGTGGTGATGGTTGTTGCGGAATGACTTCTGCTTCGTTAGACGAAGTATCACTTTGAACTGTCGAGGTCACGACCGTGATATTATTGTTATTATTACTCTGTTTTTTCCTTTCTTTTCTAAGCTTCTTTCTTTCGGTTATTGATAATTTTTTCTTGATCTTTTCGCCAGGTGTAACTGATGAACCTATTTCTTCTTTTTCGCCTTTATTATTATTATTATTATTATTACTATTACCATTAGGCACTTCGACCGTCGCTACATTATTATTATTATTATTTTTATGGTTATTATTATTGTTATTATTATTATTGTTACCATTGTTATTATCATTATTGGTATCATTTAATTCCTTTTCATTTTGAGGTTTAATCATATCATTTGAATCAACTTTTTTTTCGGTGGATTCAATTATTTCCACCACTTCAGAGGAGGAAGAAGAAGAGGAAAAAGAAAAAGAAGAGGAAGAAAAAGAAGAAGGATAAAAAGAAGAGGAAGAAGAAGGAGGAGGGGGGGGAGGGGGGGAGTTGGGAATAATGATAATACCATTAGTCAATTTTTGTTGACCACCATCATTACCACCGACGTTTTTATTATTATTAATTTCGACGGATTTACTTTTGATATTTTCATTATGGTAAATTTGTAAAGCCGTGATCGCTTCGGTTATTTGTTTTAGGTTGGTTCGCATTTCTGGTAAAATGGTTAACGAAGATTGAATATCTTTAACGGTTTTAATCAAATCTTCCATTTTCTATTTTTTTTTTTTTTTGGATTCTTTTTTGTTTATGTTATTATTGTTATTATGATTTTGCTTTAGTTTGTTTGTTTTTACAACAATGTAAAAAAAAAATCAAAGATGTTTTAATGTTATTGTGAGTATTTATAAATACTACGAATTACAGTAAGAAAGAATTGAAAATTTTGACCAAGGGAAAAATAATATATATATATATGATTAATTAACTAATGATGATAACAGAGATCTACGGGTTACGTTTTTGTATGTTTTTTGTGAATCAAAAAATATCCGACAAACAAAAAATTCCGATTATATGAGCTACACGGATTAACATATATAATTTTTTTCCTAACTTCTATATAAGATGAATTTTTTTTCGATAGTATGGCTAGGAATTACATGTCAAATGAATAATCAAAATTGGAATCTGCAATGTTTTATGTTTCTTTGCCTACTACAAATATCTACAAATTATTCAAACTTTTGAATATTTATAAATAGACAAAGATGATTTCAAAATAATTTGCAATAAGTAAAAACAAAATATATTTGCAAATAATCAAATTTTAATTAATTTTCATTTTTTTAACTCTTTTCATATTAATGATCTTATTAGGCTTAGATCTTATAATACAACCTGAAATGTATTTCATTTGACTTATAATTACAAAATGTTACTTTTATCTTACTATTTAAAATGTACAAATTATACATGTCATCAAAAATGAAAACCTTTGACTTAATTTCTGAAATTTTAATTATGTCTATGTAATAATTATTTCAATTGAGTTAATTGCATTAATTTTTCATATGACTCAATTTCAATTTTTCAAAAATTTAATTGTATTTAACTAAATTCAATAGTTTTAATGACATATATAATATAACATCAGGAATTTTATAAAGAAATTCTAGTATGCTATAAATATGAAACATTTAAATAATGTACTAAAAACATCAATTTTAGTATGCTATAAATACGAAATGTTTAAATAATACATTAGAACAGTGTATTTGGTACACTATTAATACAAAATGTTTAAATAATACACTAGAACATTGGTTTTAGTATATTAGTGCCATTTGAATAATGTTATAGAACAGTGTTCATATAGTGTTGTGGAATATTTTTATTTAATTCCTGATGAAATATATACTGAATAATTAAAACTTAGTCAAATTTTAATACAAATTAACATAACTTATTTATTATTAATTATGACATTGATAAATCATACCAGTGGTGTTTAATACTAGTTAATTTTTAGCCAATAAAAAAATAAGATACATAATTTATTTAATGTAATAAATATCAGTAATTTTTAATCAATAAAATACATAATTTTTGTTGATTTGATTATATAATATAAATTTTAATAAAATAAAATATATGCACATCACCTAAACATACTACTATAATATATACATTATCACTGGTCAAAATCTGGTATATCGGACACCTATTAGACACTTATCATGGTACCTGATAGGTACCCGATATACATTTTTTGACATATATCGGGTACTCGATAAGTGTCGTCTTATTTCCTAATATCGGATACTTATCGGGAACTTATCGGTCACATATACTACACATATCGGACACCTATTTTTCAGCTATTTTTTTTATATCAATTGGGTACTTGATTTTTTATTCAATATCGAAAACTTATCAGTGATATATTCTTCCCTCTAATAGGTGTCTGATATTTTTTTATTACATCTATTGGATTCTCCGATACTTTTATTTATTACATCTGTCAAGTACCCGATAAGTGTAATAGTTATATTGTATTCAAATACTTTTTCCAAATAAATCATACAAATTAATAGCTTTATTTATTACTGCACAAATTTTATACAATTTTATATAATATATATATAATATACCCAATATCCATTTATTTTTATTAATATAATTATTATTGCATAATAAATGTATGAAATTTAAAATATTCTAAAAATATACTATTATAATAAAAATATAGAAAATTTAAAATGTTCAAATATCCTAAAAATATACTATTATTATTATCATTATTATTATTCACTGGTTGAAAATTAATAAAACATACACATATCAGGTACTCGATATGTACATGGTATATCCTTAATTGGGCATATATCGGGTACCCGATAAGTTTAGAAAATATTTTTTTACACTTATTGGGTACCCGATATATATATAAAATATTTTCTACACCTATCGGGTACCTGATATATACCTGATATTAGGGACACACCATATACATATCGGGTACCCGATATGTATATGTTTTATCAATTTTCGACCAGTGATTATTATTATTAAATATTCATTATAAAATTGTTCATTTTCTTCGACTTTTTTTATTTTTTTTATTTTTCTTTGATGTTTTGTGATCATACTTTCTTCTTTTATTTTTTGATAATGATGATGATAATGATAATGTTTAGTTTCGTTTTCTTTTTTTTTATCAATCACAATTAAGTCATCATTATTATCTTCTTCCTCTTCTTCTTCTTCTTCTTCTTCAGTATCTTGATCATATATTTTTATTTTACTTTTATCTCTATTTTCAGATATTAATGCCTCTTTGCTAAGTGTCCACAAAGGAGTCCTTTTGGGAGAATTTATCTCTCGATGGATCTTTGATACAATGTTTTTAATTCTTGATTTATTTTGTTTCTTACAGATCTGAATTACTACTGGATCGATTCGTTTATGTAATAATTTTAATAACTAAAAAAATATATATATTAATAATATGCCCAATAGGTATAAAAAATATTATTATTATTTTACTTACAGCATCTGATCTCCACCATTTCTCATACACATATATGAAAAATTCTTTGTGATAAAGGTATCATTATTGTTATTATTATAATTGTTGTTATTGTTCAGAACATAGTTATTATTATTGTTATTATTATTATTATTATTACTATCATTATTATTACTATTATTATTATTTTCATTATCATTTTCATCATCATCATCATTACTATCATAATCACTATCTATAATTGTTGGTCTTGCTTCTGATGATGATAATAACAATGATGTTCTTGCTACTGCTGATGATGATAATAATATTGTTGTTGTTGTTGTCATTAATTCTAATATTGTAATATTTTTTTTATTTTCATTGTTAATTAAAATTAATGAATAAATTTAAATAATAAAAATATTAACTTACCTTCGTCATCTGTTTCTTCCCATTCTTCT